ATTAAAAATATGTATTTTAATAAATTAACAGAAATTAACTATATAGCCAAATGTATGTGAAATGAAGTCCAATGAGAACAAGGCAGCAGTTCACAAAAGCACAGTGCAATGATTTACTACTGTATGAGTGAGGACAAGGGCATACCTGCAATAAATAACCCCAACTCACCTGGAAGCAGTTGACTTTATCTTGTGCAGAACTAGGCAAGGAGTTCTGTTTGCGTGTCTTGAGCTCATTTAGGACCAGCTCCCCGTTCTGGTTATTCAGGAGTTCATCAATGACCCCCATGACAAAAACACCTTCCTGCACACCAAACACAGGAAACTCTCGCACACGTTCTCCTGAAACAAGATATTTGAAAATGAAATGTTTAAAACTGATCTGAGTGCAAAAACAACACCTAACACTATATTAAAATTGTCAACTCACCTGCTTCCAACAGCGGTATCATGTGCTACATATTGAGAAGTTTGATGGCTTCTGCATCTTCTCTAGTCCAGACATCTACAGGGACAACGTCCTGAATCTCCTGTTCTGGAGATGAAAGTCATGGATCGGATTACTGAACATGAACAAGATATTATGCTGCACTATATTCAAATGTGTATTATAAACATCAGTGTTCACCTCTTGATAAATGAATTTCTTTTCCGATCTGCACCTCAGCACGTTGCATTTCCTTTCTCTTGACAAATGGCTTTAAAAGACTGTAAACAGTCTTCATCTCACACCAAGACTGGTCACACAGGAGGGTCACACTCAGATGCCGCTTGAAGAAGCGTTGCATTGGGCTGAAGCTGTTTCCATGGAGGTTCTTTCTCTTTAAACCCCTCACATTTTCTGTTTTTACTGTTTCTTGTCCCAAAGCCTCTTCATTCCTGCTAAATAGAAGAACAATGTCAAGTGACAAACGCAAAGAAATAACAAATGCTGCAGTTCAGCAGAATAACTTGGGTTCCAGGTGGACGCACAGGGGCTATCAAAGTGTTCACCATCAGTTTCACTACTGAGAGGACACTGGGGCTCTCAAAAGACATAAAATATTTCGTTTATATGTATAATAAACATATGTACAAGTTTCAGTGGAAAGATAGACAGGTAAAATTTACAGATAATAGACAGACAAACAAACAAACAGAAAGATACACACAACACGACAGTGCCATCCTGTGTCCAGAATTAAAAGTATTACTACAATCACAACTATTGACCAAAATTACACAATATTTTACCGATGCTTTGTTGCTCGGAAGAGATGTTGAGAAATTCCGAGTTGCTATTATCATCCCAGTCATCGAACAGTTGTTGTGATCCAGACGCATCCATCTGAAAACGAAACTAAAGAAGCTCTCGAACCATTCTAATCTTTACATCAGTGTTTCAGGAACATAACAGTTTGCATTATTTGACATACGACATGCTCGAACATTTCCCTACAATGTCCCCAACATCTTTAAATAATTTGGTATATATTAGGAATATAGGAAAGATGCTGTTATAGCCACTAGTTTTGGCATCTTCACAATAATTTAACATTGACATTGTCACTCAGGTATCACGAGAGGCTTAACCCTTGAGACACTTCAGCGGAAAACAACACTAGATGAAACCCCTACAGACAAGAGTCTGTATACAGCCTAAAACAACACCTAAGACCATGAGAAAGCTCCTAGAAGACCTGGAACACACATGCTCCTAGAAGACCTGGAAACAGCAAAAAGGGAGTAGACAACACAAAAAGTTGTGGGTATCCGCAGCCAGGCCCAACCAATCTAAAAAGATGCCACCAAAGACAGTCCCAGGAGAGTCTGAGGTGGGTGGGAGTGCTGGCCGACCCTGTGGAAGAGGAAAATAGGATTGAGATTTATAAAACCAACAGGAGGCGGCGGTATCTGGCTGCTCAAGATGATCTCATGAAGAGCTTGGCCTGCCCTGACAGCCAGTAAAGTTCTTGTATTAATGAAATTTATTGCCTTCATATTTAATCTGAACTGAAGGCCTTATTTGCAATACTATATCTGTAATACTTACTCACACCTCTAGGGGACTCTCAAGAACAACAAATGAGAAGATTACTAGTTGCACTACTTTGTATTTGAAGTAGGGTCTTGGTTTCTAGCATGATGCAAAAATGCAAACATTAAGGACAATGCACATTTTATTAAAAAACAACAACATGTCACTTTAAAAATGTATTTATTTCATTTGAACAGTTAATAACCATCTTAAAAGGAATTCAAGTTAAAAGAATAATTTTACACAGCACAGCTACAGATTTTGAAACCAGCACATTTGTGTCACACACTTGATCAATGACTGTGCACAGAATTAAAGAGAATTAAAACAAGAACAGGAAATAAATAGGGGGAAATGCCACTGATAAAAACATTTTTTAACTGAAATGCTGTTATTTACATAATTTATTTCAAACACTGGTCTACAGATGCCTCAGTCTGCAGTTTCAGGCACGACTGAGTTCAGTTCTAATGTGACCACACTTCTCATTTTCCTTCATGAGTAACGATACAGAGAATGACTTACTAAAACCAAGCAGAGCTGTGGAAGTAAACTAGCCTTTACATACAGAAAATATGGATGACAGCATAAAAGAAGAAAAAGAAGAAAGTGACGTGAGGCCAAGTATGGTGACCCATACTCAGAATTAGTGCTCTGCATTTATCCCATCCAAAGTGCACACACACAGCAGTGAACACACACACACCGTGAACACACACCCGGAGCAGTGGGCAGCCATTTTTTGCTGCGGCGCCCGGGGAGCAGTTGGGGGTTCGTTGCCTTGCTCAAGGGCACCTCAGTCGTGGTATTGAAGGTGGGAGAGAGCGCTGTACATTCACTCCCCCACCTACAATCCCTGCTGGTACGAGACTCGAACCCGCAACCTTTTAGGGTTACGAGTCCAACTCTCTAACCATTAGGCCACGACTTACCCCAGGGTCCTAATGTTCTTCCCATAAGTGTCCTAATGGATAATTACAGTAGTAAAATATGCAGACAATGTTAGTTTAAGATGGAGTTAATGTTTTAATCCAGATACACTCATCACCACACTTGTGCAAAGACACACTAACATACCCTGTTTCTTCAGAAAACACTTTTTAGGCCCTAATATATGAACGTTACCCTTCTACAGCTCAGTGAGATTGAACCTGTTAAATAGAAACATGTGAAAAATATGTACTGAAACTGCACCTTTGTAACCCAAACCTAAAATGCACCATTGTATTATTCTAATACTCACTTTATGATGGGGCAAAAGTTTGCTCTCTAGTAAATCATGTATTTCTCTATGGCCAACTATGTGTCAAAATCAAATCTAACCTTCAAACAACGATGGTCCAAGATCAGAGCAGAATATCTGAAACGCGAATCTCACCATTAAATAATCAACCACACGTCTACATACAATTAAAAACCATTGTTGTACATTACCATTGATAACTGATGGCGAAAACACATACAAATCTCCATATGCTGCTCCTAAACAAACCTTCAAACAGCAACACAGTTGCTTACTCTTCCTTCAGCCTAAAACAAACTAAACTGCGCATCTGTCTAGGGATCCCCTTTCCAACTGGCAACAATTTCAGTCCGAGTTTCCTTTTTTTCCCCTCTTGGGACTCAGTGAATGCAGGCAGTGGTTTATAATTGGTACATATGGGCGTAACGTCAGGCACAGATGCCCGTGTGTCTTTCAAAAACCAGCCTGGCAATCAGAAGCCTGCATCTCTACAGCTGAAAAGAAGCGCTTGGTCAGCTTGTGCCCGTCATATTTGAGCTGGGTGGTGTAGAAGGTCCGGGTGTGTTTGGGGTACACTATGGTGGTGCTCTGGTAGCGCTGCACCCGCTGACGGGGCTGGAACTCCAGCTGGGTCTTGTAATGTCTCCAGGTGCTCTGAGGCAGGGCCAACACCGTCTGGCTGCACATCTCCAGACCCAAACCCTTGGGCTGCAGGGTCACGTCCTGGATGAAGTGCCGATCTGAATCATAACGCACTGACGACGTGTATCTGTAAGAACACGTGTTACAAGTTAGTGCTACATATGAATTGCACCTGCCCAGAGCAAATCGCCCAAATCCCAAAATCATGCGATAGTCACAGTAATATTTCTGCATTCCACTAATCTCCCATGAACTACAATTATTGTTTATGGAGAAAATATGTCTACCATGGGAAAGCGCGGGTGGTAAATATTTCTTGCTTACAGCTCCTGTAGGGATAAAACATCTACAATATGTTTATTTTTTCACCCCAACCTGGGAAAGTATTTCAAAAGTCAAAACAACTGGTTTGTCATTTCAGCAGGAGACAGGAAATCCCAAGCTCCTCTGTTGTGGAGCACCTGAGACCTGAAATCTCACTCTCCTACTCCACAGGCACCTTTACCCAGAGCAACAGCCAAGTTCCACACAGCCGTTTGCTGTTATAGTGAGGGGACACTTATAAAAACCCTGGATTTAAATCATTTTGATGTTGAAATCCCAGACCAGAAGACTTTGTGCCAGAATAGCAGCAGGTTACTTTTCTGAGCCACACTGCCCTGTTTTGCTTTAAGTACAAGCAAATTTCAGAGAAATGTGTAAAGTAAATGACACTGTGGGTATTAGTGTTGTAAAGTGGAGGGCAAAAAGTG